CAGTTCCAAAGCCTTGGATCTGAAAGGGGGTTTGGAAGGTGACAGAAATTCTAAAGCCAGGTGTCACCATCACGTGCCAGCTGCAATTCAAACCTGGCCGGTAATTCTGTGGGTAATTGGGAGTGCTCATTACACCTCTGTCAACATGCAGGAGTCCACCACAACCTATGAAAAGAAAAAATATCACATATAATTCCTCTTACTAGTATAATTATTGTTGTAGAGTAGTGGCAGTTTGTGTCTGGCAGTTAATATATTGATCATGAAAAATGACCTGAAAGGAAGTGTTTCTGCCCACAACACCACAACGTATCACAGAACATTACATGGATGTTAAATCTGGATTACCAAAAACAATTCTCAAGTTAAGGGAGTTAGCAATAAGTATTATATAGTATAATTATAATTTGACTTCTTGGACTGTCTTATGTTCAACAAGTGTGGATTTGTTTCTCATTTTTATGTCTTATATGAACTTTAGGGGTCCATCAAAAACATGTATAGAAAAGACTGGAAGGTTACAGTTATAGTCGTTTGACCTAAAAGTGTGACCAAACACAAATGGGAGCCCATCAGTTTTAATGGGCTCACATGGACATACAGGAGGGAATGCTTCAAGCAGTTATGGTAGGTTCGCACGCTGAAAGCGTGTTACAACTTTATGTTGAAAGTAAATGACCTCTTTCTTCTGTCATAGCTGAGAACTGAGATTCTCATCGAGTTTGAAAACATCCTGTGGTTTCCGTTCTTAAAAAAAAGGACTACCACCCAATTATGTCTTTTTAAGAATGAAGCGTGTAGTATTTCAGCATTTTGGTGTTCTGTTTTGTTTTGATCTTATGGCTATATGTCGTGTAGTTTAGTAATTAACTGCTAATGTATCACCTTTTGAGTAGGAGGCATTAAAGCCTTGGCCATTGATGACGCCGTCTGAGGAGAAATGGATGTACATGGAGTCTCCTGTTGAGTGAAGAGATCCTGGATGATCCCGACCACATACATTGGCCAGCACAGGGGACTGACTGGTTGCGCCTGGGAGTAACCAAAACAAAGGACATCCTAAGCTGTCCAGAAGGCCGAACAAACCAAGACAGTCAGGTGGACATATAAATGCTCTCTACAAGTCCAGGACACTGACTTTAGGGTCTTTCATGTTATCTGGTTTAAATAAGCATCTGCAGAAAATAATTTTTACTACTTTATATAAAAGAAAGCACTGCCATGCAAATAATTTATGTTTTTTAAGTGAAATGCAGATTCAAATCCCAAGATTTGGACAGTACATACAGGCATGTATGACATCACACAGAAAATAAAAATATTTCTGTGCCAATCATGTTTATAGTTGCACTAAATTGCACAATCAAGGTAATCCACGAGCCATCTTCACTTCAGCAATCAATGACATGTCCAGAGAAGTTCTAGCACTTCATGAAACAAGCATCTCAAGTTGGATGTTGCAACGACATCATACATTTCACAATGATCATTCCTTAAGGCAAAGAATTCTCAATTAGAAAGCTGTTGTTTTGATATATAGAATCCACACATAAATAATGATGGGAGAATTATCAAGAGATCTATAACAATACTGCACAGCATGTTATTAGATGCTGTTATTTGCCACAAATGAAACAAAATGAATAATATATATCATAATATAACATAACAACAGTAAAGCATCACTGAATGAATGCATTTTTGTGCTCTAATATTTTTTGTTTTTAAACACTTTAAGTCATTTATACATAATTTAGCCTAAAGCATAAGACAAGTTGTGGAATTTAAGCTCAAAACAAAACCTGTCAGTTTTCCTCTTACTAGAATATTAAGTCTGAGGCTGTGGTCTGCCTCTAAACCAGCGGTCCCCAACCCCCGGGCCTCGGACCGGTACCGGTCCGTGAGTCGTTTGGTACCGGGCCGCGAGAGTTGAGGTTCAGGTGTGAAATGTATAGTTTTCAGGGTTTTTATTGGTTTTCAGCGTTATTTTGTTATCGTTTTTATCGTTAACTCGGTTTTCCTGGGTCTTTTCACGTGTGTTATGAATAAATCTTCTTTTTTTCGGTACCGGTACTAGTTTTATTTTGTTGTATTTATCGGCGACACCTTAAAGGCCGGTCCGTGAAAATGTTGTCGGGCATAAACCGGTCCGTGGCGCAAAAAAGGTTGGAGACCTCTGCTCTAAACAAGAACATGAATTTTTCAACAATTCATTTTGGGAAAGAAAGGCAGGTGCCATCACAAGTTTTGGATATGTTACTATCAGACACCAAATCTTTCTATAAAAGTCAACTTGATGGTGTTAGATTATGTCGTTTTTGGGGTGGGGGAATGTCACATTGAATTTCAAAGAAAACTGTTTTTAATATCTTTAAAAGCAGGGAAAACACAAATGGTCATTTCATCAGTTGAAATTGAATGACCTTAAAAATCCATCAGCACTATTATTCCTTAATGTTGGCTTTATTTACTTACCATCTCTGACAACAACGCTATCAAAGTAGCAGGTATGGCTGTCCTCTATGTCTAAAGACAAGATAGTAAGCTCTACAGTTGAGTCTGGAGAACGTATTAACCAGGTACACTCCTGATCAGGAGGGTAGTTTTCTGGCCAGCCAGGAGAATAGAGGAAGCCAGGAGTCTCTCCTGTCATTAGCATTCCACCGCATGCACCTGGCACACATACAGAAAAACAACAAGATGAAGGTTGTATTTAACATTTCGGAAACACAGTGAGTAAGTCAGAGACCTGGGTATGATTTTGGACAGTGATTTCAGTTTTGAAAATCATATTAATAAGGTCACCAGGATTTCTTTCTACCACTAAAGAAAATACATTTCCTCAACTGACTTAGAGTCTGATAGCAGCAGTCCGGGTCCTTACATGTACACAGAAATGTGAACCCAATACTGAAGTCACTACATTTGGAAAGAAAAGCATCTGGACTTCTTTAAGTTGCTTGAAGACGTTTCACCTCTCATCTGAGAAGCTTCTTCAGTTCAAATGGTGGAGGGTCCCAGATTTAAACCCTGTGGGAGTGTCCCACAGAAAAAAAGCAAACTTGTCAAAAATAACATTAAAGCATCTGGGAAGGGATCTATAATCTAGTTTTGAGATCCCTTCCAGACGCCTTAAAGCCCACTCACACCCTGGGCCATTTCACCTCAGGAAATCACATGATAGGGTGGGGTGAGGTTTCACAATGAGCTCGCCTGAAACCTTGGCTGATTGTGCCCTACACCCATCTTCACACCTTGGCTGGTGTGATTAGGTAGAGGATCATTAGGGGGTCCATTGTCCCTCTTGAGGGGACACTCCCACAGGCCTTAAATCTGGCACTCTCCACCATATGACCCTAGAAGAAGCTTCTCGGACTTCAAACAACTTAAGAAGTCCAGATGCGTTTCTTTCCAAGCTCCTTAGACTAGGATGACCTGGATGACTGAGACAAGTCACTACATTGCCTTTAAGTTCAATAAATAAGTGCAAATAATTAAGCACAAATAAATAAACAACTAAAAAATGCTATATAAATAAAAATGCCATTGGCATTCTCTCTATTTAATTTGTTTGTCTAGTGTGTTTCCCTGCAGTATTCTCAGATATTCTACATCAGCCACAGTAAAGGTTTTTGTTTCCTCCCAGCTATGAGTCTGCACATGGGTCATGCATGGGTTTATGTAACAGGGCTGCTGAGAAACTGCTGTTTCTCACCTGGTGTGATAGTGGGTGGTGGTCCAGAGTTCTGGATAGCAGTCCATTCCAAAAGGAAACCTTTTCCTCCCACCACTGAATCTGACTTGAACTGCACAGTGACAGTGCTTCCCAAACTTCTTACAGGAGGGGGCGGACTCAAACCACAGAATGTCCCAATAGGGTAGTAATGAATACTGGGACCATCAAATACCTGCAGAGACACAAGGATTGAGAATAGAAGCTGTGGAGAGGCGTGGTCGGTGGTGCCGTGGGGACTCACCTGCACGGCATCCAAAATCACACTCGCCATGTTAAAAACGGGGAAGCGGGATTGTTTGGTATTGTGGTGTGTTGCATGTGCAGCTGGCGGCTTGTGTGCTGCAGCCGCGGTAAATAAAATGGCGCAAAAAAACACTCTCTGGACCCTCCGTGTCTCAGAAGCCATTAGGCAACGCCGTAAACAGACAGCCTTTTGGGCAACCATCCTAGGCCACAATAGTTTACAATAGCTTTGCTCTGTCTCAGATGTTGCACACTACTGAGTGTCACAGCAAATATAAAAATCATTACATTCATTGATCTGTAGATCACACAGAATTATATTTTGTCTTTCAAAATTGGGGTTAGGAGATTGCAACAGGACATGCAAAAGGAGGTCTAAGGAGGAGAATACTTAAATTAAGCGCAAACTGATTAATCCACTCGTGTCATTTCATTTGGAATGTCAGATGCAGATTTGATAAAAATGTATAAATTAAGCAGCTTTTCGACATGTTGTGGCTTCTGCTGCAGGAATTTTACGTCCTGCACAACGGGGTTCAAAGAAGGGAAGTCAGTCGATCTATCCTGAAAACTTAGTTTTTGTGGTTTTTACTCTGATTAAAGCATTTACTTTAATAAACTTTAAAAACATTAAATAACTAAATATTAAATTAAATAAAGTGTTATAATTTCAGGACCATGAAGATGGGCACAGACCTTCGATAGCACACACATGGTTGTCCATTATCTCATCAGGTGCGCTTTAACACATGACTATTGTTAGTGGTGCCTACACAACTTCAGCTGCTGCACTATGACAATACGTGAGGTATAGATCTCTC